CACACCTAAGGCTCAGGGATCATCTATAACACAACCCCACACCTAAGCCTCGGGGATCATCATGGCTCATTATTTAGAATAAACTAGAAGCACAACACTACAGATTAAAACTAGCACACAATACCCACATCAACCTTTCCATCTTAAGGAGGAGGACCTGTCTACTTTCCATGCTCTGCCTTAGGTGGGCCATTTTCTCAAACCCAATGTCAGCCATGAGAATTAGCACTTAGTTGATTCCCAAGAGAACTCAGAACATAGCTAACTGCCAGTGAACATAGATCTAGGGTGAGAAAAAAAAAAAAGCTGCTGGGGACAACTACTTGGCCAGCATCGGACCTTCAAGGTAAACAGGTTCAGAGCCTCAGAGAGGCTGCTGATTCTAAAAGTCCAGGCTGCCTAAGAGCTGTCACCATTCGGCCTGGGCTCCTCCCTGAGAAGATAAGCAAGTGCTCCAGCTGCAGACATGAGCAACATGAGGATTGTGTTGCAGGCCTAGCCTAGCCTAGCCTTGAATTACAAAGCAGACAACATCTGAAAAACCAAGGGGCAAGGTCCTCCCAGAGCCTGGGAGCATGATGGCCTAGCCTGAATGTTCTAGAGCAAAATGAAGGATTTAAGCTCCAAGATGTGTGGAGACTGCGTTAGTATCAAACACAATAAAGCTTGATTATAAACATGTGTGCAACTGTTACTGGAAAGACCAACTAAAATTTATCAAGTTTAAGTATCTAAAGCCCAGCTCAACTTCCCTGTATGCATGTTACACTCTGTAAAGAGGTGAAGAGAGTTAGATTCCAGCACATATTGTATTCAAATTTAAGATCCAGGCACCCAATGAACACAGAGAGCTTTCCAACTTCAAGCCTCAGTGAGGGTTACCTGTGTGGTTAATGAGCACACACTACACTCATCAATGGCTTACCTTTTGTGTTTTCTTTGAATCTTTCTGAGCAGTCTCTCGGAGTGGGACTTTTCCAAACAGCTTCCATCCCAAGTCTCTCTGTCTATCAAGTCTTGCATTTTGTTTTCTAGCAAGCAAATTCCTATAGAAAGAAAAGAAAAGGGCTAGGCCATTTCTGGGTGTTTACAGAGACACTAGGCCGGCCAAGGCAGGTTAACACAAACAAACCAAACTTTGCTTTGAGAGGGACTCTGTGCAGTGAGCACACATTAACACCTCAAACTTGGCTTGCACACACACAGAACTACACAGACACAGATCTTAGATACAAGCTTGCTGTAGTCAACTACTATGTGTACCAATTCTACTATTTAGAATTTTAAAAATGTACTCAATAATAAAGTAAATCAACAAAAGTCAGCCAAAATGAGCTAAATGCCTGGCTCTGCCATTCAGTAGCTTTGAGTCTGAACTAGGAATGTAGCCTGAGTCTCAGTTTCCTATGAGTGACAGAGACCCCATTTGCAATGCACAAGTTCAATTATAAACTGACATTTCAAGGACAGCAGTCTTTCAGATCAGAACTGCTTTAGTAGCTACCTTCTAGCTTAAATCATCTACAAGGTGATCTATACAGCCTCCAAGGATCAGAGAAAATCATTCATGAGATGGTCACAAGGTCTTCTCTACAATATGTAAACACAGTTCCAAAAACTACAAACCCTAACTGGCAGTACAAACAAATCTGGTTTTCAGCAGGTTTGACTATACAGGTCAGATGCAGTCAGATGCAGTCATTAATGCAAATGGCTTCCAGGGTGCCCCCAAAAGAAGACATGCCTGTAGCTTTCCAGTAAGTTTTAAAACATACCAAAACAAAATCACAAAAGCTTCAAAAAAGAATAACCAGCCGTGGTACCATACTCCTATAACCCCTGAATTTTGGATGTTGAGGCAGGAGGACTACTCGTTAATTCAAGTTCAAGGCCAGCCTGACCTTTAATGAAGAGTCTGAGGCCAGCTTGGACTGCATTATAGCAAGACCCTATCAAAAAAGAGGGAAAGGGAAGGGCGGGGGAACAGGACTATGCAAATGAATTGGTTTCACTGTTTTCTTCCCTTGTTTCTGTTGTGACCTTAATAGAATCCATTTCAGAAATGGTTTCACAGCCCAAAATATTTGTAAAAACAAACAAACGAACAAGTGAACTTTGGACACTCTAGAGTTTCAACACATTTACCATCTAAGAAGGATTTATGCAATTTAAACCAAGGAAAGCCCCAGGCACCCACAGATGCTAAGAACATGGGATACCTAGAACCTGAGTTACTGGAAAGGTTACGTATACTGAATTGGAGCTGGCAGAGATGGTGAAACAAACCACAGGGAAGGGAAGGCCGCTCACTGGCAGCATCGAGAAAGACAGGACTGCCATGTTCAGGGAAAGAATCTGAAACCTCACAGAGCAATCAAGGTATGGGATGTGTAAAGGGACGGGAGCCTGGCTCTTGTATTTATGTCTTGGGAGGCTGAACACAAGCAGTGCTATTCACTGCAGCAACAGGACCAGAAGATGAAAAGGAGCACTTGAAGGCAGCAGTCTGAGACTGCACTATGGAAGTGCAGACAAAGCTAAAGAGTACCCAGATTCAAAGCTGTTTAGTCAGTGTCAACCTAAGATCTTAAGCTCATAAGCCAACCAAAACTTGAGAGACTCATGGAAAGTACCTTGAATAAATTATTTTTTTATAGTTAATATCTTGAAAACCCCAAATCACAATGTTACATATAAAATGGTACTGCACGAAAGTGCTCTGAACACACAAGTGCTTTTCAGACTAGTGTGCATCACATGACCAAAGTCAGTGCGCAGCTAGGCACTGCAAGCACATAAGGAACAGGCAGACACAAGCCAGAAGAACCCTGTAGCCCCTGGGCAATCCTCCTGCCAGGGGTCTGGCAGCACCTCCAAACATCGTTTAGACCCCATACACATTCTTTTTTTTTTTTTTTTTTTTTTTTTTCCCCATACACATTCTTACCTAGTGTTCTATAGCTCCTTTCCAAGGCTATGTCACCATCTGCCCACACTGCCCATGGGACAGAGAACTGGGAGCAGCTCTAGTCAAGCTTTAGGCTGACTTCAGGCGGCCAGCCTCCACCTAGCAATAGACCCTCACACTTGTCCAAGGATTCCAGCACTGTTTCCATAGTACTCATTACTTCCTGCTGTCTTTGACACAGGTTCGATTGCCTCCCCTCTGTCTTTTGTCCCTAGCAGGAGAGTAGGGAAGTCACCTCTATACTCCCAGAGTCTATCTATTAAGCAGTAGGTGCTAAGCATGTTTGTTGGCAACTGAAGTGGTCACCATGTGTGTCTGCAAGGAGGCAAGGGCAGGGGGATGAAAAAGCATGGTTAACAACTCTGTCTGAGTATAATATTAAGTGCCAAAAGGCTCCTGTGTAGAAGGCTCGTCTCCAGCTGGTAGCATTACTGAAAGGTGATTGATTTCATCAATGGGTTAATCCACTGTTAAATTCACAGCTGAATGGACTATTCATTAGGAGGCAGGGCCTGTTTAAAAGTAGGTCAAAGGGGGGTGTGTTCTTGAAGGGTTTATCTAATCTCTGACCCTTCTTGGGATTCTCTCTGCTTCCTGCCTTACCACAGCCCAGAAGCAATGGAGCCAGCTGGACTTGGAAGCAAAGCCTCTGAAACTCTGAAGCAAAATAAATCCTCCCGCCATGTTGTTTTCCTCAGGTTGTTTTGTCACAGAGCCTGAAACATTACTAACATACATGTACACACAGCCCACACACCTACACGCTGCAGATAAGGAGTCAGCAACCCTGCTTACACCACAAGATCAAAGACCTCAGAGCAGAGGCAGAAGAACCTAGGGAAAAAGGGGCAGCGCAGGACTGAGGGGAGTACTTAGTAAAGTACTTGCCATATGTCTTAGTCAGGGTTTCTATTCCTACACAAACATCATGACCAAGAAGCAAGTTGGGGAGGAAAGGATTTATTCAGCTTACACTCCCACATTGCTGTTCATCACCAAAGGAAGTCAGGACTGAGAACTCAAGCACGTCAGGAAGCAGGAGCTGGTGCAGAGACCATGGAGGGATGTTACTTACTGGCTTGCTCAGCTTGCTTTCTTATAGAACCCAGGACTACCAGCCCAGGGATGCAGGGATGGCACCACCCACAATGGGCCCTCCCCCCTTGATCGCTAATTGAGAAAATGCCTTCCAGCTGGATGTCATGGAGGCATTTCCTGAAGGGAGGCTCCTTTCTCTGTGATAACTCCAGCTTGTGTCAAGTTGACACACAAAACCAGGCAGTCCACCATACAAGCGTGAGGACCAAGCATGACCCCAATCTAGGAGCTAAGCGCAATGCCAGGCATGGAGCACACCTGGAAAGCAAGGTAGAAAGCTCCTGAGGTTGATGTGTGGCCTCCACATTCACGTGTGGACACACACACAAAAGAAGAGACAGTGGAGGGTGAGGACTGGAGAGGCCAGGGGAGAAAGAGCACCCACTATGCCCTCGGGGACAGTTTGCAGGGGGTAAGTGTTCACTACAGAGAAGCACTTGAGAGAAAACAGTTCTCATAACTGCTGGGCTCCTTTGTTCTGTATCCCTAGAAAATTATGGCTCCTCAGTGAAAAGATACATTTGTGACTCAAAGAGGAAAAGTACCATCCTTGAAGCATTAGGGATGGATAGCTACAGGCTTCCGCAGCGGCCAACATGCAGCCCAGGGCCTGTAGCCCTGCTTCCAGTCCATATACTCCTCCATTACACTGCCTACATGGCGCCCTGACCACTTGAGACTCCAGATCACATCCTCTGTGTTCATGTACACACACTAGTGTGGTCCTCCTCTGCCTGGTGTATGCCTGTCTTAGTTCCTCACTACTCACTTCTTCCCAGATGCTCACTCAAATCCCCCTTCCACAGAGAAGGCACAGAACCTCTTTCTAAAGGCATCAGTCTGGGTAAGAAGCTCCTCTGCAGGCTGAGACTGTGCAGCCTTCAGGCCTCACTCCTGCCATGTTTCCTGGGGCCTCAATTGTATTCAGTGATAGAAAGTTCCAAGTAAAGGAAGGCCTTCTTCCAGTAGCCGTCTTGTCTAGGACCCAAGAAGAGGACTGTGCTACCTATGTACAAGTCCTTGCCCTTTCTTTCTTCAGCTATCCTTCAGGCACTGACTGGTCCTGGACCCAAGGCCCCAAACAAGCACCATGCCCTGAAGGCAGAAATGGCTCGCTCACACTAGCCCTGTCTTCCCATCTTGTCAGTGACTTGACCCTGTTTTTAGGGGGCATGTGGCCTAGCTCCATCTCCATCCCTGTTCCACTGACTGCTCCCCATGCCCAGTGGGGAGTTTTGCAAAAAGGTGTTTGCAAATAGGTGACATGAGTGTTAAATGAGGTGGAGGCCAGAGCTCAGTATAGCCCTATTCTTGGCCTGAAGGAAACCTGTTCCCACCCATCAGATGTTTCCATGGTTCTCCATTGAGTAGGCACTGGACAGCAGGGACTCCTCATGCCAAATCCCTACCACCACCACCACCACATCAGTACTGAGAACTCTCAAAACACAGAGATCTGCAGAGAATGAGCTAGTTCATGAGAACAGAGGGTTTCCAAAGAAGGTGGTCTCAGAAGCAGTAGTCAAGGCATCTCTAGCAGCCTCAGAAGCTGCCTGCACCAAAGTGATTCCAGAATCCCACTGAAGCTGTCTCAGCCTCTCAGACAACAAGACTAGGGTGGCAGTGGAGGAAGTATCAGTGATGAAGCCACACCAAGTACAAGGGACTAAGTTGGATTCTAACAGCAGGAAATGAGGCCTAATAACCATGGACAGGCAAAGCTGAGCTGTAGCTGTTTTACCCAGTGGCTGGAAAAGTCATTATTTTCATCTCAGTACATCATACTCAGGAAAAGATACAGACACCCAAGACAAAGTAATGCTCAAAATAGTAGAGTATCAGTTTCTGGGAAACCAGGAAAAAGTTCATAGGTACAATGTGTAAAACACACAGGGTGTCACTAGAATTGGAAACATGACAGCTCCTGACACATTTACCAGGAGCCCACTAGGATTCCAGCATGAAGATGTAGGACCAGTA